AACCTTCAATGGCTCCCTATTGCTTCTAAGATAAGATAAAAACCTTTCACCCTGACATTAAAACTCTCTACCATCTGTCTTCATGGGATCACAGAAAAAGAGAATCACAGATCAGAGCTTATTATTCATCACTCTAAATTCTGGCCAGACTGGGCTACTAGATGTTTCCCATATTCAGCATTCCCATCTCCTGCCCTTGTGCATTTGTACACAGGGTTTCCCTGCCTGGGATGCACTCCCCCCAGGCCCCTGCTCCTTTCTCTACCTTTTGGAGTCCTTAGTCTATTTTAAGGCTCAGATTGGGTACTTCTCTCCTTAATCTCAATCATTAATGCTCTCTCCACTTGAATTGCCTTATATTTATATCTGCACATGTTATATTCTCCTGTCCCCCTTGTAGAATGTAAGCTCATTGAGGGCAGAGACTATTCTGTTTTTATCTTTGCATCCCCTTTGTATCACAGTGTCTAAACACAGTAGGCACTTAATAAATGATTGTTGAATGAAATTGAAGAAAGTTTGAGAGAAGCAGCAAGGAGAGGAAGGTACCCCCAAATTAGAGATTCCCATGAGCAATGTCCTAATGAATTGAAGGTATTTCTCATATTTCACTTAGGGTCTCCTGTGTGCTACATGCAAATTAGAATGCAAATGAGTAGGCCTAACTCCCTTCTTGTATTTCACCAGTCCACTATAGGACCCACCCATAGAGGTGTTCAGGAGGACTAGCACCTCTGGTGTGAGGGCTTGCTAAGCCCTTTTAAGGGCTGCCCATCCACCTTTGGTGTCCACCTGATTCACTCAACTCTCACATGTGGCTCCAAGAAGCTGTAGCATGAGCAGTGTCCACACCTGGTAAACCATCTTGGCAGATGGGATAAATCAGGTTGAGGGTAACCAACAGGTCTCAAACCTGTTTGTGAGTTAGGGAATGTCTTCCCCAAATGTGTGAAGACTTTCCCTGGTGAGATGGGCGGTTGAGAACAATTTGTTCCAACAGCCACGAAAGCAGCTGAAGCAGGTACTACGGAGTGCTTAAAGCTTGGTCAGGCATTGAAGATGCCAAGGGCATCCACTGCATTCCAGGCCATCCCAGTCATCTTGACTTTTGTCTTGCCATTGGATTTTGATGAATCTGGAAGAGCGAGTGAGACTGTCAACTGTACAACTCTACCTCACTTAAATCCAATTCACTCACAAGTCAAGACATCACCCCATGATGCCACTGGTCCTCTTTGAAAACCAAGGACAAAAAACAATAAGACCTACCCCTCTACCCAAACTGGAGTGAATGAAAAGCATTTAATAAAGTGTCTGTTATGTCCAAAGCACTGTGCTAAGCACTGGAGATACAAATAGAAAAGACAATGCCTGCCCTCAAGGAGCTCTCATTCTAATGTGTGTGTTTGTGTGTGTGCGTGCGTGCGTGTGTGTGTGTGTGTGTGTGTGTGTGTGTGTATCAGCTGAGATCAAGTGGAAAGGTCCCCCGGAGAGCAGTGGCAAGGCAGATGTTAATGCCTCTTTAATGTCATTTCCATAGATAAAATCATATTAATTTCTGATGTGGAACCATATGACTTTGTTAGTGAGAATGTCTCTTTCTGGATCTTCAGGAGCTAAAGCTGTAGTGCCCACTGATGGGTCACATCTCCATATGGGTTACTTCTCAGCATGATGGCCATAAGTGCCCTTGGGAAACTGGACTGGTGGTCTTGGGAGAAGGGGATGCTGCCACTCACCAGGCTCTTGAACGTAGCTGCCTGCTGTATGGTAGCAGTTGTTAGTGGTAGTGAGAGAAGTGGGCTCCTTCTCCATAGTGATTACTTCCTTCAATGATGGCTATTTGGGGTGGGAATGAGAGAAGGACCCATGGTCTGGGAGACAGTTATATTCTCATGACTCTTCTCATGGTTCATGAGTTTGGAGACCTGGGCTATCTTCATTGGGGTTTGAGAGGAGAGGGTGGTAAAGGGGCAGGCAAAGTTTTGACTTGTCTACCACATATCTCTCATGCCTCATACTCACATTTCTTCCTCAAGATGCCTCATTGTTTCAGCTAGGCTGACTTGCCTGCCCTCTTAGATGGCAGTTGGTGGGGACAGCGGGCTCCTTCTCCACAAAAGTTTCTTCCTGGAATGTTGGCTATGGGGATTGAGCTGGAAGCAAGAATGATGATTTAGGCAGCACTGTTATTCCTAAGAGTCTTGGGTTCAGGATCCTGGGCTATCTCCATCAGGATTGGGAGGAAATGGAGATGGTGATTTGACTTGCCTGGCACATATCTCTTCCTCAGAAAGAGTGCCTGTTTTCTGAATAACCTTCATGCTTTGACTAACCTTAACCTTTCCACTCTTTTCCTTGCTAGATATAGATATATGTGTGTGTGTGTGTGTGTGTGTGTGTGTGTGTAGATCCAGGAAGAGTAAAGAGCTTCTCACAAGACCTATTAAACAGTTATTCCACCCCTCAAAAGAGGGATTAATATGGAAGGAGACATCAAGGTTTTGTGCTGGCTGGAGAACAGCACAAAATTTTAGGGGTTTTTGTTGCTGACAGATACTCATAATAAAGGCAGGAATATGAATCAGTAATGGCGGTGACCTCCTCGTGTATCTTTTGTCCTTACCCAACTTTTCTTCTGTGGGCTTTATAGCCCCAGGTTCCACACAGCTCCCCTGGGATGTGCTTGCAGTCTCTAAAATGGGTCTTGGCACTGGACCCCATGAGAGAGTTAAAGCATTAAAATAAATTTCTAGCCCTAATTCAGAGAGTTGTCTGGGAATGTGGATTTTGAATCGGATCCAGACACAGGCATTCAAAAGAATAGATTTAATCTTAATTTTGAAAGTGCTTTGACTGACTGTGGTTGGCTATCTTTGGCTAGGTGAGGTCCCACCTATGTGATAAAAGTTGCCATGTGATAAAAGACCTGCCCTTGTCAGGGAGGGTCTTCCTGGCATTAGTGGATGGGAGGAAAGAGCCAGTAGATGGCCTTGAAGAGCTGAAGTCCAGTAGATGGTGATAGAGAGCAACCCAACAGCCAGAGAACCCAGCAGAAAGAGCAGGAAAGCCAGTAGAGGGCAGAAACATGGTGCCTAGTAGAGATTAAACAACCAACAGAGAGCACCAGAGAGTAAGAGGATAACTTTACAGGAAGACATTGGCAGTTCAATAACTTTGGTGGCAGGAATGACCCTGGCCACATGTCTTGGCCATGCGTGTTCCTTACATCTGTGCCCTTCCCACACAGGTTCTGAGTGTGTAGCCTTTAAACATGTTACCTGCTACTATGTATGCCTACCATGTGTGTTTCCTGGTCATAGGTGATCTCTGTGTTTCTTCCCTCTCACCTCCCCACCCCTACTCCCTCTGGTAAATAGAGAAGAGCATTCATTATGTTTATGTGGAGAAAATCTATTGTTACCACTTTATCTGCAGTGCTGTTGATTAAATATATTTTGTTTTGAACTAATATGTCCTCTGGCTGGCTAGTAGAAGTAAATGCATCAGTGGGGGCTCGTGAGCTATAGTTTTTGAGTGGGTGCTGATCCCTAGAAACCTCCAACCTAAGAAGCCCATATATATATATATATATATGGGGCTGCCTTAGGTAATACAAATATCATCCCTTGCATTTATATGTTTCATACTTTTAAAAATAACTTGATGTTCATTATCTCATGTTAGCCTCATAATAACTTTCTAAGACACGGATTTTAATCCTTATTTTACAGATAAGAAAACTGAGGCCCTGAGAAATTGACTTACCCCAAATTACATAACTAATTAGTAGTAGAACTAGAACCCAGAACTCCTGATTCCTAGCCTAGAACCCCTTCCACTATACCATAGTGATAATATATGAGTAAGTGGGATGAAGATGAGGACCTCTGATGCCATCAGCTTCTGCTTAATGGTTATGGAATCCTCTTCAGTTATAGGCCTGAAGGCTCACTCCACTCCTTCATCCTCATAAGTGGGCAGGCCTCTTTAGGACTTTGTGAAGGAAAAGGGGTGGGAGGCCAGAGGCCTAGATAAGAACCTAAGGAAAATAAATTTTTCTAAGAGTCAAGAATGGCTGGATCCTGGGGCAGAGGTTACCAGAAAAGGGGGGACTAGTGTCTCCTTGGGGTGAGTCAATAGCAGCCCTTCTAATAAACTTTGTCGAAGAAGATTTCATTTTCCGAAGATGAAAAAGGAAAAGATCTTTGTTTCTTTTCTTCTGTCTGGTGCTTTTTTTTCCTGTTCAGACAGACCAGAAATAAGATCGTGCCAGATAAGTACAACCAAAAAAAAAAAAAAAAAAGGAAGAGGAAGTGGAAATGACAGACAGATTCACACACACACACACACACACACTAAAAAGATATTCAGAGAGAGAGAGAGGAGTAAGTAAGAGGAAATTCACAGAGATAGAGAGCATTGGATTTGTAGGACATAGGTTTAAACCCTCCTCAGACACTTACTAACTGTATGACTGTGGGAAAGTGGGTCAACCTCTCTGAGCCTCAGTTTCCTTATTTGCAAAATGGGGGAAATAACAGGACCTTTCCCAAAGGATTGTTATGAGGCTCAAGTGAGATTATGTATGCAAAGTGCTTTGCAAACTTTATAGTACTACATAAATGTGGGTTTATTATGGAGAGGAAATGGAGAGAAAAGGGGAGATGGAGAAAAACAGAGGGATATAGAGACAGAGAGATAGAAAGGAGAGTGAAAGAAAGGCAGACAGAAAGAGGGACAAAGAAGAAAGTGAAAGGAAGACAGGAGAATGAAAGATAGAGGAGAAACAGAGAGAAGAGTGAAAATAGGAGAGAGAGAGAGAGAGAGAGAAAGAGGGAGAGAGAGACAAACCCCAAAGAGAAAGAAACTCAAAGAGACAGTCACACAGAAACCGTCAGAGAACAGAAAGAGGAAACAGAAACGGAGAGGGAATGGAAAGAGGCGCCGACAGAGACAGACAGAGAGAGACAGACAAGAGAGGAAGAAGAGGGAGAGAGAGAGAGAGAACAGAGAGAGCAAGAGAGAGAAAGGTTACTGTGAGTATCAGTGAGGGGGCTAATTGTCAAGGTTATATCTGCACCGATGATTGATGTGAGGCTGGGTTTTCTGTCAGCCTGTCACGGAGCAGGAATGTTTAATGTTCTCATTATTGGTTACGCTGTTGTGTATATTTCTCTGTCAGCACCACGGACCCAGCTGAACTGCCAAGGCACTTCAAAGCCCTGCGGGTCATTCATCATCCCCCTGACGCTCCAGCAAATGCTCAGCCTCAGCTCAGTGCCAAGGATTTGTTATGACTTGTGAGCCGGCTGACAGACAGGTCTGCTGCGGGAAAGGATCCTTTTTTGTCACTCTGTGCAAACATCAATGCTCCCCTAATGGCCTGGCCACTGGCAGAGAGGCTGGGCAGCCCCTGGGGCCAGGCTGGCCAGAGCCGCCGGGCTGTCCTCCTCACTTTCCACCACGAAGTGGGGTCACACGCAATCAGGCCACCATCTGTTGGCGTGCCAGGCACATGTGGGAGGTGGGGGGAAAGGGGAGTGATAGAATGGGAATCTTAGAAAAGGAGGGCATCATGGCACAAGAGAAAGACCACTGACCCTGGAGTCAGTGGAATACATTCAATTCTAACTCTCTGAATTTACCTGTGTGACCTCGGACAAGTCACTCCCTGGGTCTCAGTTTCCCCCTTTCTAAATTGAGGGGATCAGGCCTTGTAGTTCACTTCTAGCTCTAAATCTATGATGCCAAGAAAGGAGGGAAAGAGGAGTCCCTATGAAGCAGGAGGGGACAAAAAATGGAGGAGGAAGTAGGTCATGGTGCTCAGAGATCAAAAATTGCAAAAAAAAATATGGTTCATACCAAATTGAAACCATGTCTTTACCCTGTCCCCAGCTCCTCCCCTGTGGTGTCAGCTGGGGCTGGATGGATATCTCTGAAAGTTGTGATGAAAACTGAGACATAAGAGAAGACAGAGAACCTTGCAAACAGCCAGGGTGTACAAGAGGGAGAGAGAAAGAGACAGACAGAGAGAGAGAGAAAGAGAGAGAGAGAGAGAGAAAGAGAGACAGAGAGGGGAGGTTGGGGGTGGGGGGGAGGATGGGGACGGGAGAGAATATCAGAGCTTTGTTTCCTTTCCCAGGCCATGACATGATTAATCGTTTTCTTCTGATCTAATTTTGGAACATGAAAAACAGCACATTTGTCTCGAAGAAAAATGATGTGCCGAACTGCGCAGATGGAAATTTCGAGCAATGAGAAAGATTAAAGTGAAACTCCGCTCCTTAGACCTAATCATGAGTTGTAGATTATTCTGTCGGCCTAGCCAGATGGTAGCCCTGACTCCGCAGCCCCTTCTTATATTAATGAATACTAGACTGTTATATTTGACTTAGGTAAGTGAAATGTCTATCAGGCGTAATGGACTGCCAGGCAGCATAACACATGTTGTACCACTAAGGGTCCTTGCTGCATTTTTCATGTTTTATACTAATGGAGAACATTTTGTTTCCTACTGTTTTCCATCATTGTCACTGTTTGCTAAATATTTTCACATGTAAGGGGGGGGAAGGGAAGAAGGAAGGAGAGGGAGGGAAAAAAGCCCCACCACCAAACTTGTGTCCAGAGCTAATTTCCTTCACGTTGGGCCTTGGCTATAATTCTACAAGTAAAACAGTCACCCGAAGCGGTGAGTACAGGAACTCAATAGTAACGTGATTAAGTTCCTAGTCAACAAGACTACACTCGACTGTATGTTAACAAACCTAATTATAGGCAGCATGGTGATGAATGGGGCCCAGGGCCTTGCTGCACATCTCTGAGGTCACGGCTAGAAGAAAAGTTTGACCTGACAGTCTCCCGGGATGGGGGGACCAGGAGGACTGCCCCAAAGAAGGGGCCTGGGGGCTGTCCCTATCCACTCTGAATCTCCATGCAGGTCCCCTCCCACGCCTGAACTCCTTTGGAATCCCTGGGGCAGGCGGCTGCTGCCAAAAAGCATTTTGGAAGAGAGGGTCAGAGAAATGAGCAACTGGGAATTTTCCTTCCCCTTCTCCTTTTCCCTCCCCCTTCGCATTAAGCTGGTGGGGTGCTTTCCCAAGCCATTTGCACCAAGCTAGGCCCCATTAAAGTTATGAATGTCATTGGGATTCTATTAGGATGGATTGGTGCTTCTGGCTTATTTGTCACAGAGACCAGGCTGGCCCTAGGGAATGCTCCAGACCAGCTCTCTCCTCCTGGCTAGGTAGACAGGGCATCTTTCTGACCTTCTCCCTCCCAGCCCCACACTTCTTGGGTACACATACATTTGCTCTCAAAGGGAAAAATCTCAGATTTCTGACTTTCAAAAGACAGCTAACAGCTGAATATGTCCAAGACTGTTTTCTGAATTATGGAGCAAAAATTTTTCTCAGTTTGAGGACAAGAGACTTGGGAGGCTAAGGGGAGAAAAGGATACCTAGAGAGAAAGAAATAGATGGAGACACTTGAAAAACAATAAATACAAGGACATACCCAGGGAGAGACAATAAAGGCAGCCATAATGTAGGATGGAAAGAGGGCTGGCTTTGGAGGCCGTGATCCTGGATTTGAATCCAAGTTCTTATAGTTACTGCCTGTGTGACCTTGTATCACTTTCTGTCCTCTGTAAAATAAGGGGTCTCTTCCAGCTATAAATCTAAGATCTTAGAAAATACCAGAGGTGGAGAATTTGAGAGAAAGAAATGGGCCTGTGAGAGGGTGAGAGAAGAACATAGACAAAGGAGGAGACACAGAGGAACTACACATAGAAAGACATGTACCCAGAGACAGAGAGGGAACTCAAGTGCCTAGGAGGCTACTCCAGTCTGACTGTGCTAATTTTAGCCCCGGGGAAAAAAAAGTCAACAGGATGCATTTGCCCAGGGGAGAGAGAGACAAGAAACTAGGCAGGGCTTGGTTGGGGAGAGGGGACATTGATGCAAATAGGCGGAGATGCAGTCACGCAACAAAGCGGTCCTACTAAGAGACACTGATGAATGAACCTGGGGCAGGCAGCAGACGACATCCCACCTAAATAGCCTTAGTTATACAACAAATCCTTGCCTTTAGCAGGGTACATCTGGGAGAAAACAAGGCCAACTTTCTGTTCCTCAAACTTAGTATTTCATCTCCTGTCTCTATTACCCCTTCCTTCTCACCTGTCTCTTAAAATCCTTATCTTCCTTCAAGGCTCAGCTCCTGTGGGGCAAACCTTCAAGGTGTTTGCACTGTCTTCCTTCCTTAAATTTTCTTGTATTTACTTATCAGTGTCCATGTGAGAATAGTGGGAATAGAAGTTCCTTGAGGGGAGAGGCTGTTTTTCTTTTTCCTTTTTCTTCTTGTCTTCATCTCCCAAGTACATAGCACAGTGACTTACTCAGAATAGGTGCTTGACAAGAGTTTGTTGACTTGAAGCAAAGCAATCTCATGACTCTTGGAGTATTATCTCCCAACTTGCTTGATTGTGCACCCCTAGCAATAAAACATGTTTTTAGCAGTCACCCTCATTATTGCATTGTAGAGCCCACCAGGAAGGGCAAATGTGAGCATTCTCTATGCCTGTTGGCCAATGCTCCCATTATTTATGTATAATTACTTATTTATAAATCATATACATGTACATATAATGATATACATTATAAAACTTATCCAAAAAATAGAAGGGATAAGATAGAGATAGATTTCATCCTACAGACAACAGGAACAACTGGAGTTTATTAAATAGGAGAATGACATGGTCAGACCTGTACTTTAGCAAAAATCACCTTGGCTGCTGTGCGGAGGAAGGACTGGGGAAGGGAGAGATTTGAGGTACAGAGATCAATCAGGAGACTCATGCAGTAGTGTAGGCTAGAGCTTTGCCTAAACTAGAGTCTTGGGTACCTAAGTAGAGAGAAAGACACAGGATGCTAGAGATGTTTTAGAGGTAGAAATGACAAAAATTGGCAACTATTGATTGGAAGGTAGCACGAGTGAGAGTGAGGGTGGCACCAAAGTTGAAAACATGGGTAACTAGAAGGATGATGGTACCTTGGCAGAAAGAAGGAAAATCAGAAGAGGAGAAGGTTTAGGGGCAAGAAACGATGAGTTCTTTTTTTGGACATAATTAGTGTGAAATGTCTATAGGACATTGAGTAGGAAATGTGTAAGAGATAGCCAGTGATAGACGCCTGCAGTTCAGGAGAGAGATTGGGGCTGGATATATGGAACTGGTAGCCATCTGCATAGAGATGGTAATTAAACTTATGGGAGCTTATGAGGTCACAAAGCAAGAGGAGAGGGCCCAGACAGATCCTCGTGTGCACCTACAGTTGGGAGACATGATAGGAATGATGATCTAGCAAAGGAGATTTAGGAGCAGTCAGATAGGTAAGAGGAGAACCAAGAGAGAATGGTGACATGACAACCAAGAGAGGGGAGCATGTCCAAGAGGAGAGCACAGTCAGTGTCATATTCTGCAGAGAGGCTGAAAAGCATGAGAATTGGGAAAAGATGATCAGATTTGCAATTAAATGACTATTGACTTTTTTTTTTTTGCTTTTTGGTGAGGCAATTGGGGTTAAGTGACCTGCCCAGGGTCACACAGCTAGTAAGTGTCCTGTGTCTGAGGTCACATTTGAACTCAGGTCCCCCTGACTCCAAGACCAAAGCTCTATGCACTGCACCACCTAGCTGCCCCTGACTACTGACATTTTTGCAGAAGACAATTCCTGTTGATCAAGAAGTCAAGGAGAAGCAAGAGGCTGAAAACCTGGAGTACTGGGAGGATGTGGATGCCCTGGACAGAAACAGGGAAAGTGGAATAGGGGTGGGTTTGGGGAAAAGATAGAACAATAAAATCTTCCATGATGCACCTATCCATGTAACCTATCCATGCCTGCTCTTCCTGTGAGAAATACTCTGTCCTACTGGAAGAAAAAAAGGGAGAGTGAAGGAATAAGGCTCTTACTCACTGGTTACTGCCCCAAAGAGCTTCCTGTTTGCTCAGGGAGAAGGAACAGCAAGTTTCATGACCTTCTGGACACTCTGTCCAGTGACTTAGTCAGTCTTCTAGGGACAAATCAGGCCTAGTGTAGGGAAGATATCTGGGTCTGGGGTAACAAGGTATCTGACATTGACTTTGTCACTGAGCTACATTGGGCAGGGGCAAAGGGAAAAGAGTGTTTATTAAGCAACTACTGTTTGCCAGGCACCATGTGAAATACAAAGAAGTATAGGGCAGAGTCCCTGCCTCCAAGTAACTTACATCTTAGCTGGAGAGATGAGATGGTAAACAATAGTACAAGGCACCATATATATGAATCTACTTGGACCCCCTTCCACATGACCGTAGGATCAAGGCCTTTGGGTCAGCATATCTTCAAAGCTGGTATATTCTCTTATAGACCAAACCAGATTTGACATATGACAGTAAAAAGAAGCTTCCCTCGCTACTCGTATCTAATAATTCATCATAACTTATTGATTCATCTTTTGAGACAGCTCTAGCATCCATCCCCTTTTTTCCTCTCATACAACCCCTACTCTAGTTTAGGGCCTCATTACCTCTCACCTGGACGTTCACAACAGCCTTCTAATTGGTCTTCCTTCCTCTCTGCCTCCCCTATGCATTCCATTCTCCATAAAGCTGTCAAATTGATATTCCTAAATCGAAGCTGACCATATCGCTATCCTGCTCAAGAAGCTATGGTGACTCCCTATTACCTCTTGGATCAACTACAAACTCCTCCATCCAACATCTGAAACCCTTCGAAACCTGGTCCCCGACACACTACTTTCCTTCTAGTACTCTATGTTCCAGCCAAATTGGCCAACTTCCTAATTCTTGTACATTCCATTTCCTATTTCCATGCCTTTGTATGGGTTGTCCTGTATGCCCAGAATGTATTCCCTTCTCCCTTCTGATTTTTGGAATTCCTAGCTGTCTTTGAAGTTCAGCTCAAGTCTCCTATCCATGACAAGGTTCTCCTGAAATAATTTTGTGTCTTGTTTTTACTTACATGTGTACATATTGTTTCCACCCAAGAGAAGATAATCTTTTAGGACAGGGACTATTTCATTTTGGTCTCTGTTTCCTCAGCACCTAGCACAGTGTAACAGATAGGAACTTAATACATACTTATTGAATGAATAAAGGAAGCTTCATCTCCATACATACCAAGGTAGTCTGATTCTGATGCTAGAGAAAGGATATATAACCCAGACAGTTGTATCTTGGTTGGAACATTTTTCTTTCTACAGAACTGCCATTTGCTCC